ACACACACACACTTTCTCTCTCTCTCAGATAACCTTTGGATCTCAAACCTGTGTCTGCCACAGGCAAGTCTCAGACAGACTGGTGTCCTTGCTAATTTGAGGACTGATGTGATTACCGTCATGCACCAGAGGCTAAGAAATGATTACAAATGCTATCAGCCTGCCAAGCCCATTATTTGAGTTCCACAAATGGTTTCTTCATCAGTTGTCTTTAATTTCCTCCAAAGGTTTGTATAGTCCTACCTTCCCAGGTTGCTATAAGGAGCACACGAAAGCTCTTGGTATACGATATGCAAGGGGGGGGAGAGAGAGAGCGTGTGTGAGAGAGAGAGAGAGAGAGTGTGTGTGTGTACACGCCCTAGCCTACAAACCCTCAACTGTCTTTCACAAGCTCCATCCCCATGAGGGGATATGACTGTGGCTTGCAATTTATTCCCAAACCCCATACACAGTTGGGACCCCTGGTAGTGCAATGGTCGGGCCACTAACCAAAAGGTCAGCAGTTCTGACGCACCAGTGGTTCCATGAGATGAAGATGAAGCAACTCTGTAAAGATGACAATCCAGCCAGTTCAAGAGGGCAGGTCTCCTCATGTACGGGTCCCTGAGATCGGAACTGACCCGACAGCAGTAAGGTCAAGGCAGTGCCTTCCACGCCTTCATGCGTTCACTTAAAGTCCACTCAATATATTACTTTCTGAGTGACCTTCCAGAATGCTCCACAGTGAAGCAAGCTTGTTAAATTTTACAGATTTAATAGTTGTAACACTTTGAACGAGAGGTAGTTGAAGTTTATTTAAAATAAAGACAAGGACTCGCATTTTTTTATGCATTATGGTAATACTGCTTTATCGGCAATAAGAAATTCTGACAATTGAAAGAAGGTTAAACACTTTAATTATAATAAATCAATAATCCGGAATTATATAAAAATTCTGATTCATGCATCAGATTACATAAATTACACAACTGCCACATTATGCAATGCTTACATTACTTTCGAGCTTATACCTCCAAAAATGTATACAAGTTGCAAAGAGTATTTACTTAATAAGATTAAGTGCAATACTCTTCAGTTATAAATAATGCCTACATCTTTCAAGTACCTACTAAATATATACAGATCGAGATCTGCAGCATTTTTTTTTGTACCTCAAAATACAAACCATCTGGAAGCTTCGAAGATTAACAGGCCCAAATGTACCATTTGTTACAGACTTCAGTTCCATCGTAAGAGTGGATTTTTTTGACATAGAAAAGAAATGAAAGAAAACGTCAACTCGAGTTTAATGCTTGAAGAGCTTCTAGACTTATTAAATACACCAGGAGACCCTTCCTATGCAGATTAATTAGTTAAGGTGCTACCTATTGCATATTAAATACTTCCAATGATTGCATCTGGATTATTAAAAGTTACACATCTGTGAAAATGGGGCCTTTCAATGCGTGCTGACAGACCCTTCCACCGACCCTCCCAGTCAGCAGCACTGCAATCCGCCTGCCTCTTACTTCAAAGAGATCAAGGGAATGAGCATGCTTTATGCTTCACTTATACACACACACCAAGTGACACCTAGCCTAGCTCTAAGACATATGAGTACCCAGACATCAAAAAGTTTCAGCTTGATTTACAAATCCAAGGTTGCTTTTCCTAAAAGGCTACAGAGGAAAATAAAAGCTCTAGTGTAACAACTGCTGTCGCTCTAGTAAAGACAGCAGGTCTCATTTGTTTTAAGATTCTCTTGTGTTCAAGAATAAGCACCCTTATGGGGGAGGGGGCCCGGGTGGGGTGAAGTAGGACGTGAGGAAAGCCGGGCTGTCACTAATGAGCTCAGTTTTAGGTTTCCATTCATGAAACCCTTTTAAATACGAGGCAACATTTTCACAGCTGGAAAATTACAACTAAATCCTGATTTACTGCCAAAAGCAATAGATGTAGTTATGTATAATCTATGGATAACACTACATTTAACTGGAGGATGGCAAAACTAACTTCAATGCAGAAGAAACAGAGCAGCAAAAAGCAACACACATTTTTCAGCAACGGGTTTTACGTTGTTATTATATACACAGTCCTAAGATTCGACCTTGGTAGTCAAGAAATCAAACGAGAACCCTCAGAATTCTGTAGAGCAGCATGTTCAATTCTGGCAGAGCTGAAGTTTAGATCTGGGTTGGCGAGGAGGGGACCAGCTATGAGACAACACTGTTTTTAAAATCATTTTTAAAGGACTATTTTATATATGTAACAGATACTATATACTCTATTAGATTTGAAAGAAATATAAATTCTGTGATCTTAAAACAATCCTTTTGGTGAAATGTTTTTGGCCACACACTATGTAAAACAAAGGGGAAGAAACGTTTCTAATTGTACTAATGCTGTGTGTTATTTAATGAGTAAGTAAGATTTCTTTTCATCTCTAAGCACTAATCAAATCTAAGATTAGAATATGTAAAGTAACATATTGGGAAAATAAAGGAATTGATTTTGGGGGCGGAGGGGTACGTCCCAAAACTTTAGAAATAAGAACTGTTCCATCTGAACTTTCTACCTAAACACAGCAAACAACGGCAGCTTTCCTAGGGAATTCTCTTACTTACTCTCAGTTTATTATACAGACTGATTATTGAAAATACCTCACAAGTTCTGGCTTCGGTCATGAGTGAAAATTCATAAACACTGGAACGGAAAATTTAAAGCAGTGAGAAACGCAGACTCAATGTTCAATACAGTATTTGTCTTGGGTTTAAGGAGAAAAATGTTGATTTGGCTCTCGTCAAATCACTCCTTATGAGTTAAGTTTAATAATCCTTCATAAGTCTTTTTATGTAGACAAAGAATCACTCTTTTAAAATGAACTTTCTCCTAAAAAGAATAGCAGTACTTGAATCATACTTTTTAATGAGCCCTATTTATATAAAACAACCCTCAAATACAAAGCTGACATCTTGGTTCATTCTATAAAGAGTGAATATGGCCAAGGCATATTAAAATAACTGCAGCTAGCTGTCATAACACTGAAACACACGAACTGTAGTGTTCAAACAAGTATATGTGCCTCAATTATACTAACAACAGAAAAACAAGTGCTCAGAATTTTGTAATGTTTAATAACTATCAGTTTAAAATGGCACCATGGTTAAAAGCAGCAACTGCCAAACTTCAAATGATGAAACACGTTAGATTTTGAGATTAAGCACAAAACTTTAAGTAGAGGGGAAACCAGCAACAGCTATTTTTCTATTTCCATTTCTTAATTTTAGAAAATGATTCTTACTTCTTAGATTTGGGAAAAAATTATGAATTCCAAAGTTATGAACTCATAAAAAATATAAAGAAACTCAGAAGAAATAAGTAACCAGGAATTTTAGCTTATGGATAAAAGCTTGGCCAAGTATGAGCTGATTCAAAATATTATTAAAATGAACAAAACCATTATATCTGTTTCTCATTTTCTTTTCAAGAAAAAAATCTTAATAGGGGTAAGTATTAGAAAAAATGCAGTTCACAAATAAACTGTCAGATATTTAAGTCTCTATATGTAGATAAAAATGTTCCCTTTTCAATTCAGAAAGATAGAGTACTCTTGAGTGTTTCACAGAAAGTATGTCAGAATATAAAGTTTTAAAAAGAAATTGCTAAATGTTTAGTAACATTTTATGCCATAGATTTTCCTGTAAATTTCAGACTAATTTTGTACAAATATTATCAAAGTAATCTGCAGAAGTAGCCAGCATTTAGGGGAAGTGGTGTTAAAACAAACTACCCACCAACCACATAACTCCACGAGGATTCAGCTCTCAAAGAAAGATACAGCATCACGTGCAATGGCATGCTGGTCAAGAACCTACCCTACAAAGTCATTCTTCCTTAATCATTTTTATTTTGGCTCAAAACTCAAAGGCAACGGTCTGTTTTATTATATATGTAACCTGAAACCAAGCCTAAGTCTTCACTCCCACAATTTGCCCACTGCTTTATCAGGCATCATATGATTACCTACATTTCTCCCCCAAATTACCTTCAGATAGAATGTTAGTGTTTTCTTTGCTAATGATTCAACGGCATGCAGAATCTCTACAATACAAATTGCATTAGCTTATCTTCTGCTTATAGCTTAAACGAAACTCAAGACGCCAGGGTAAAAGAATTAATCCAAAGAAATTCATGCTCTCGTGAAGTCAATGACCTTTCACAAAATATGCCATTCTTGAAGAAAAAGGCTGTGGGTTAGCACTTTCTGTAAAAAGAGCACAAATATGAAGCTGGAGCGAAACAGCACAGCTCACCTTCAAACCAAGTTTCCCATGGTCAGAGACATGGCATAACCAATCCTAACACTATAGCAATGATGATTTGTTCTACACCAAGAGATCGCACATACACCCTCCAGTTAAGTAATCTGTGTCCCAACCTTAAAGGCAATCATCTTTTGTCGTTTTAATGTTCTAAAAAACACATTATGTATGAGGTATATGCATATACTTTATATACAAAGATACATGGACATATATTCATGTACATATATATGTATATAAAATATGAAGCTTTTTAAGTAGTGTTTGTAAGAAGCAGTATTCCTGAAGCTAACTATGTCTATAAATTGCCTTCCGACACCACCTCCATCAGCGGACTGTTCTGTGAGCCAATCTATCCCTGAGGAGTAAGTCACATGCTTCTGAAGTGAGTTCGAGGCCTCTGGGAGATTCCTGGACTGGTGCCAGCACCTACGTGAATCCTAAGAAACTGCTTTTTTATGGAGAATGTGGCCCATGTTCACGTTAAAAGTTTAGACTATTTAAACCACTTCAATAGTCACTCATTCTTTGGACAATCCCTGCTAGTACTTTCAGGTGACACAATTCTTCTAAAAGAAAGAGAATATGTAGTGAAACCTGACCATATCGTTGCTTTCAGAAGCAAGGTTTTCTTTCTCTCCTTTTCCTTCCTTCCTCTCTTATTTAGACTTTCATTATAAAAGCAGTGCGACTGGCTCGTTAACTATCTGGGAATCTGCCGGCTTTCCTGGAGGGCTCGTAGGGCACCCGGAGGATGCTGGGCGTTTCCTCCATCACCCTAACGAGGAGGTTGTCGATGTAGTCCTCAAGTTCCCGGATGTGGGTGTCCTTCCTCCTCAGGAGCTCCTTGTGCTTCACCAGTTCCTGCAGGACCTCCTCGTAGGTCAGACTGCGGTACCCGGCAGTGGCATCAAACGGGTTGCTGTCCTACAACAGAGTGAAAGACAGTCACTTCAGTATGCGGAGGGCCAGGGACAAACATCAACAATTATTTTGAGCGTCCACTTTTGGTCTTTCAACTCTCCAGTCAAGCTTGTCTTTGTCCTTGGCTAGAACTGCAGTGACATTCCACAGACGAGCAAGCCAGTTTCTGCGGCCAGGAGGACAGATGCACCAAAGCTCTGACTAGAAATCAGATTTTTCCTCCACCTCCCCACTTTTAAAAGACGGTCAGTAATTTCCTAGTATCAGAGGTTGGTCATATAGTTTAAGACTAAATTAAAAACAATTCTATAATAAGTATAGCTAACACTGATTAAAATGAAAGCTGTCTTAGAAATAACTCAAGGAACTACCAAAAGCTACAGCAAAGTATACACTTGGACATCAGAGTAATGGAACATTGTGCCTTTCTCTGTTTGGTTTGGGCTTTTTTTTGTTTTATTTTTTTACAAGTTACAACAAACACTGATATCAAATGTGCTTTTGCAGCCCTCTAGGAATGTAGAAAGCATTCAGAATCCAATCCTGAGCATCTCAGAAGAAACTGTGCAAAAATAACTTCTATTTTAATTTGGAGGCAGGGAAAGGTTTTTTTCCTGCTATGTAATTAACCTATTTCCTCCTTCTATCTAACTTATCTTACTTCCCCTTTTGTCCTGGTTATCAGGAAATTCAAGAGTTTAACTGTAATCATGTTAACATTTAGAATTATTATGTTTGTTCTTTCCTGTTTTACTAAATTACATATTTTGAAAGCTTGTATTATTGGTAAAAGTTAGGTTTATATCTCAGTCTCATAAGGACAAATTCTGCATAAGAATAATAGAAGGATAACTAATAAGCTAAGTATGAAAATCCCAAGGGGGATGGGGAGGGGACAGGAAGGTGGGGGACGGGGAGGCAGAAAACCATGGGGCCAAAGAGTTCAGTGGGTGGAGGGAAGGGGTGAAGGAATTAAGAAAGCTCCAGTGGGGACCTGAAAAGAAGGGGTAATGGAAGACACAGACCAATGGTGATTAATTTTATAAAACACAATGTGAATGAAGGAATGTGTGAAATACAATGTCTATGAATGAAACATAATGTGTATCAATTTTATATATGCAAACCAATATTAAATCTTTACAAAAGTATGTTTAGGTAAAAGTATAAATGGCCCTCAAAAGAAAGAAAAAGGCATTGATCTGCATCATTTTTTACTACAAGGCATTTTTATATTAACATTAAGTTGGAGGCTAAAGACTTTCTCAGAAGGTCAGTCAAGCAGGCACAGCGGCCTCATTTCTTCTATCTTGCAATATTCACCATTGTCATGATATACATTTGAATGCACTCCATGTAAGGCAGCAAACTTTATGCACTTTTACACACAGTCTAACACTAAACTCAAATGATTTTCAACACTTTCTTTCAAAACAGTTCCATTTGGTTTCAAAGAAAATATAGTACAATACTGATGACATTTTTTTCCCTTGCCTTTCTTAAAGACTGATGCTATCTATTCAGTAAGGGAAGACCAGAAGGCATCTTTTTCATTTTGGAAGGGGTGAAATTTGTTTTTACTCATTTTCAGGATCAGTGCTAACTGGGCCATGTAGCTGCACTCAAAGTCTGCACTGACTGGTAAAGCTCAAGCTTAGCTTTTAAGACTCGCTGGGGCAGTGTGACTTTGGAGACACCAGGAAAACAGAAGAAGCTGGAGTTCACATATTAATTTGCTGTTTGGGTTACAAACCTCCACATATGCCCTTCTCTCCAGAATAAAGGGGGGAAGTTCAAGACTGAAAAAAAACACCTCCAATTCCACGAAATCTCTCAAATTTTGGGAATAGAGTATGTACCTGCTCTTCAAAGGCTTTGCTGCGTACACATGGAGGCTGGGCAGTACAAGCAGCAGGTTGTGTTTTCAAAGGAACAAAGAAAGGCTCATGGCTCAGGAGTCAAAAGCAGGTGGTCAACTGAGTGTGGGTCAGATGGAAAATAACAACAGGTAGGGTGCACAGACCACGTTATGGAAGGAGAAGATCATCGTCAAGGATGTAGAATGCTGCTATTAAACATCTTCACACATTTTTTTGCTGTGGGAAATTGAAGTCATGAGAGTTTTCTAAACAGGGAGGCTGTTTACATGATGATATGACTACAGCTACGGTCAAGGAAAATTAAAATGGCACCAGTGGAAAAAATAAAATGGGAGGGCTGAGAGGGTTACTTTTAAGGTGTACTGAAATTAAGAGAAGAATGGTAAGAGCTCCACTAGATTAAATGAATAAGAAGAGAGAGTCCTGACAAGAAATGAGTTTCAATTCTGCAAAAGAATATTCAAAATGTCTTACTCATCATTAGAAATCAGAAACAGATAAAAGTGTGTGTGTTTTATTACCACTAAGTTTTTTCAGAATACTGCTCTAAGACAATTAGAGGACAACTCTAAAGATAAGCATTGGTGTATCTGCCTCTCTCCCTCAGGGCAATTACATTTTTAGTAAATTTATGAACACTTAATTTGACTAATGTCACTGGTCATCACACATTTAGAAATATATAACTTTAAAAAATGTACTAACTCTATTCCTATAAAGCATTACTATGCTGAGTTTCTATTAAACAGCTAAGACACACCATAGAGATAAACCCATTTTTAAAATTTTTAAAAGGTAAAACGTCTTCCTTTCAGTAAGTAATTTTGTAGAGATTTGAGGCATTGACTAACCCAGGTCTCCTTATGTGCTAAATGAGATGTTCTAAAAGGTACCTTTCCACTCTCTTAATTTCCTGATTTACAAAGTGACATTTTTCTGAGCTATATTTTTAAAAGTAATAAAGTCCAGCTAATGTGGTCTAATAAAACAAATACTGAAAAATAGGAGTCCTTGTGAGACTTGTGGGGTTTAATGAATTTAAACTAAATGGGATTCGTTAATGAGTAGTTGACAGTTTTATTTTTTCCTTAATTTAACATAATAATAGCATCTGCTCCAGTTTCTCTAATCTTAATCAAATTACCTATGTAAGAACTGATTTCACTAAACTAATTAAGTGATGATATACAGTCAAAAATTCACTTGCACTGTTATAGTCAACACGATACCAGTTCCACCAGCTAATACAGTCAATGTTCCACCATCCCCCGCTTACTATGTCTTTAAAGACACTGAGGCTACAAGGCTTGTCAAAAACCTCTTATTTTGACATATATAGTGTCAATTAATGTCACCGTATCACATCAATCTAACAATTTACTGGCAAATCTCTCAAAAGTATGTATAATCCCAGAATAATGGTTAACACTTTAGGGCAAGAATATTTTTTAAAAGAATCTAAAATGTAGAGATTCATTATTTGTCTTATATGCCCCTTAAAACCAACACACACTAAAATGTAGAGTTTCTAACTATCAGGAAATACATTTCTGTTCTTCTAAAATTATTTCATTTGCATTGTTACAAAGACTTCTGCATCAAGTTTTTAGATAAGAAATCCTCTTAGAAGCACATGTATGGTAAACTCTATTCTGAAAAAAAATATAAAATAATTAAAAACAGTTTCATGCTTAGCTATATTAGTAAAAGATGTAAATCTTCTTTCTATTTTTAGCGAGAAAATTCTTAAAGTGATTGATATATTCATTACATGTTATCATACTAAGAAATATTATAAAAATCGGTATTAAGTAATAAATATATTAGAAAAGGAGAAAACTTATAAAAATTGTTTCGCTTTTAGATGAAATCTTTTAGGCAAATATACTTTTCCCCTAAAAGGTATTTTTAATGATATTTTGAGAAAATCTTATAAATAAATTCAAACTGGTAAAGACTCCAAAACAATTTACAAGGGAACTCCGACATGATCAATATTTTTCTCTTAAATACAGTGTGTATATACAGTGCACATATGTTTGTAAGATGTTTTCTTAGTTTAAAATGGAATATAAAATTTGATTCTATTTTCCCCTTCTACAACCCATCCTTACTCATTCCCACACAACCTGTTAAAAATTTCCAAACGCAAATATTAAAAAAGAAAAAGCAGTCGGCAAGAGAATTATATTATAGCACGTCTTCTAATCAGAATTTTAAATAACATAGAGGAAAGAATCTGAAGATTACTAGTCATCTAATTTTTACTTTGCGTGTAGTCTAGGCTTCTAAAGTAAGAAATGTATGTATTTTCTTTACAATATTTAAATTTAAACAAAAGCAAATTACCAAGACTCCAAATAACTGAAGATTTAAAGAAAGGTTGTCCTGGTAACCAAATATTGGTGGAGCACTAACTGACATCCAAGGGGACCAGAGGAGAGAGAGAGAGAGATAAGATGAAGGCTTGGCGTTCTCTGACCATCTCATTATTGTTCTAATGAGGAACTCTGCTCTGGGAATATCATCTCAGCTACTTTCACATCTTTTGTCTCACTCCCTTCATCTCCCTTTCAGTTCTTAATTAGGCCTTAAAGAGCTCACACTGCCCTTTCAACTGGCTACTGCTCCTGTTTAAACACTGTGCTTTCACAGACAGGTGTTGGCACTAGCATAGAAGACATACAAACTTAATTACAAAATACTATGTCCAGAAGGAGGAAAAAAAAGAACTTGGTGGATGGTTATTATTGGAGAACTTCATGTAAATGACTTCAAACACCATGTAATCTCCAACAGAAAAATTGTTGAAATACTTTTCCTCAAAAAAATGCTCACTGTGAGGGTAAGCGTTCTCGTCTTAATTGTATCTTGCAGTAAATTAACACACCTAGTAATCCTTTAACTGTCATTTAGAATAGTTAGTATTCTGGAGAAAAGTAATCACACATCAAGGATTCTTTTATCACCTTTAAATCCTTTAACTAAAACAATTTTCACATTTTGTTTCTTTCAAGAATCCTAAAGGATGCTTTTACAGCAGTAAATGACAAGATTCGGAAAAGTACATTTACAAGCACATAGAAATTATAATTAAGGTTACTTAATAAACAATAGCTACACATTAAATCGATTTTTTGATGTTGCATTTTGTTTGAGATTAAGTAACCGCCTGATAGAATTCATTTTACTATCTGATCAAAGGCTGACTTCATATATGCTGACATTTCTTGCCAGACTGCCATATTAAAAAGACTTGAGTATTTATGAAACATCAAAACTTACAAATCATTTACATAAAACAGCAAAAACAGAGTACAAAATCATCTGCTCTGTACAGTTTTAAAGACAAATAACTACATTCAGAGTGGTTTATAAAATAAACCCCACCACCACCAAGGATTCTTCTAGGTATATTACATCACAGAAAATTCTGATATGTTATCATTTAAAAACATTCTTATTAAACATCTGGATCACACACATTAAGGACAGATGGTTCAAACTGCAACCATCGGCCTCTTGGAATAAAGGCCCTGTTTCTACTATGCAGTGAGAATTTAGTCCTTTACCAAGAACACTTGCCCACGCTTTTGTAAAGTAACTTCTCTAGGTTTAGTATATTTAGAATTGGCTGCAGATGCAATGGAACACTGAAGAGAAACTCAGCACTGCAATCAAATAGCAAGAAAAGGACAGCAAGGCATCTAAGGCCATGGAAATTATCTGGCTTGGGTTAGCTGGTCACTCTGTGGTTAGCTGCCAAAGCTCATCCTACAGGTTTGTTCCATACTTTCCTACCCAAGATGCTTTTGTTAACTAGCAGCTTTGTTCTTACTTCAATGATTGTCCCAACAACAACATGTTCGTTTTCTCCACATGCTCTTATTTTATAACTAGAATGCTGACCTTGGCATCAGCTTTCACATGAATTTCAAACTCAGCAAACTGTGTGTGTATATAGATTCTAAACTGGCTTTAATTAGTACTCTGATGACTGCTTGTACTATAAAATATATTTAAAACTCACATATCCTATGTCAAGGCAACATTGAATTTTGCTTTCTTTCTCTTAAACATACCATGTTAAGCTAAAACACTGAGGTAACTAAGGTTTTCAAGAGGCCTGAAGAGTGTGCCTGAGAGAGGCCCAGCTTTGTTTTCCGGTAATTCTCTTAACCTCTCAGGAACTTACCAGTATTTTCCTGAGGTCTTCACTGCTTGTCGGATTCGTATGAAAACTGTGTTAAGAAAAGACAAACATAAATGTTATACACATTGCACAGACCATGTGGAGTCATACAAAAATGGAACTTTTTAAATTTACATTGCAGTAACAATTTCTCAAGTCATAAATTACTTTGAATAGTGAATATTAGTCCAAAAGAAAAACATGAGCTCAATATTCTTAAAGTATCTATAATTTTAAACTTTAAAAGAACTGAACAATTCACATTTAAATATGTTGTTTTCTAAACACATTTAAAACAAAGCAATTTTTCACACATATACTCACTTACCTTAGGCTTTCTGATATAAAACTATGGAGAGTAAGTTAAAGTTGGAAAGACTGTGGTATAAAACAGTTAAAGCAGCTCTTTTTTTTTTTTTAAAGCAGCTTTTTAAAAAATGCTACAGGTACAAGAAAAACAAACTTCAATAATTATTCTATAAATGAGAATGAACTCCAAGCTATACCCACCATCCTGTCATTAATGTGATTTCTAAGTAGTTTTCAAAATTTAAATACCCAAATGGACCAAAACAAAACAGCTTTCTTCCATGCAGAGAAGAAGAAAACATCACAGCTGAAAGCTATAATCATGTTCTTCTTTGAAACGTGTCCATTAGGAAGGGGACTGTGACCAAAAAGGAGCTAAACATCAAAGCCAAACGATGAGTAAGTACTTCATCGCTGTGATTCAAGTTTAATTTTTCACCCAGCACTTAAGAGTATTAGCCACCAGAATCGCTACAAAGCACTACTGTCCTAAAAACTTTTATTATTTAAAAGGAAAAACTTCAACTGTAAAGTATTGTCCATCATCAGTGCAAAATGGCTGAAATCCTTTAAAGACCTAAGAAATTAACTCTTAAACCTTTGGAAAATTTGCACAGACAAAGCGGACGTATCAGCTGCAGCATCAAGAAGGTTTTGAACAGGACAGCCACCTCTTCCAAACTGGAAACCCACAAGGCATCCCTGCCTGTACATACAGTTCAACACTTCCAAGAGCATTTCTCACATATACAAGGTTTCATCTCCTAGGACTAGTTTTCAGACTTGGTTTGTGAATTCTGTTAGCAAGCACACTGGAAAGTAAATTTTGTATTACAGCAGAGCCTGGTGACATAAGAGCGAAGAATGAAGCTGATTTTCTTACTATGCGCCACGACGCTCAGTGACTTGGCTACTCAGGGGACTCTGGGGGCTCAAGCGGTCAGGACTTGGGCAGACAACCAAAGGCAGACCGTCAAGAATCCTCCAGCAGCTTCAAGGGAGAAGGATGGGCGATCTCCTCCGGAGTGCTGCCTCCGACAGCCCGCCGGGGGATCTGCTGGGAGTCAGTCTTGACGCGACGAATGCGACATGTATGTAGTTACAAGCACCAGTTCCGTACCTCACTGTCTTTTCGGTGATCTCAACAGTCCGGGCTACAGTCACTGCACCAGCAGAGCCTCCAGAGGCCAAGGGAAGAGGAGTCTGGACGTGGACTGCAAATCCGCCTCCCCGGGGCTGTGCCTGTACAGAGCTCGCCAGTTCACCCTCCTCTCGGCAGGAGCAGCTGCTAGCACGGGGTCTCCACCCTCTGGACCCACATGGGGCTAATGGACTAGTCTCTCCTTGCCCCCTCTCCCCGTCTCACATGACGTGCTCTTTTCTAAAAAGCCAAGAGATACATTCTGTTCGACTTCTCTCCTCTGACCATGTCCCAAGGCCATTACACGGAGAGCAGCGATCAAAGCACTGGAAGGCCTGCAGCGAGACTTCAGGTCCTGCTTCTGTCCAGCACTTGCTGGGCGGCCTTCAACAAGCTCCTTAGCTCGCACTGTGTATTTTCGGCTTCCCTGTGTCTAGGCACCATCATTTATAAAACGGGAACAGAGACAGCATCTACTAGGCAAGACTGCTGTGAAGGTCAGATTTCATGAACAATGCAGAACTCGACGCCGTAACTCGCAGGCAGAACATGTTCAAGAAATTCTTTTCTTTTGCAAACATTTACATGCCACTTAACCTGCACCACGGAGCTCTGGTGGCGTAGTGTGCTACATGCTGGCCTATTAACTCAAAGCCTAGTGGTTCAAATCCAGCTGCTTCACAAAGGAAAATGAGGCAGTGAAGATTCCTGTGAAGATTTACAGTCTCAGAAACACAAAGCCAGGTCCCCCCTTGAGTCGGAACTGATGAGATGGCAACTTGCACGATCTGGGGGGCACAGATCTAAACAAAGTCATTCATGTTCTCAATATTAACTCATTTAATTACTAACCTTCACAGTAGCTACTATTATTTTCATTTTAAAAATAATGAATCACAGAGTCACACGGTTGGCAACTGGTGACGTTCTTCCTTCTAATGCTGCTCACAGCCCTTGTCCAGTTCTCAGCACATCAATGGACATCATAATACTTGCTGGCCCTGGAGAAGCCCTGCGCACACGGAACACACAGGAAAGACAGCTCAGTTCCTCACATTTGTGACCAAACTCCCAGCAGAGCTGCTCTTTGGGAGAGCTACCTTCCATGACCACACAGAGAAGTGAAATTGTTGAAAAGCAGTGCTGATGGTAGGCCCAGTTCATGGGAAACACAGCTTCAAATCACACAGAAGACAGACTTGGCAGACTAGAGGCAGGGCTTACAGACCTCTGATCTGTTTGGCCTGCGAGACCCTCAAGAGTGTGGGAGACAAGGGAGTGTGGAGCCAAGTGAGACATCATCCCTAAAGGCACCTGTGATTTTCCAACAATCCTCATCTTCTCACGTCTCATTATTTTAAGGGTTTCACGTTTAAGGCCATCCCATTATGTACTGCAAGAGTAATATTATGACTGCATAAATTTCTGAGGATGTCTCAGAAAGAATTTAGGAAATCACTAAGAATAATATTATGAGTTTTCAAAGAACAGATGTGTACAACAAAGATTTCATCCAAATGATGAAACTAACAGTATGTCGTTCCCAATGGCTTTAGTTCATGGAACCAAAATGAAGCACACGATTGTCTGAAATGTGTTAGGAATGATAAAAGCAGAAAGGTCACAACTCTTAAAGAGGAAAAAACTGTACTGGGCAGGGAGTCCCTGCTCCTACTCATGACACCTGCGGGTTACAGACCCATGAGGCCAACAAGCGGGCTGGGCTGGCATTGTCTAAACTCTTCAGGCAGAAAACCCTCCCAAGTGGCCCGCTTTCTCCGCACACACTGACATGTCAAACTCATGATGAACTCAGTCATTCATGGCTGCCTTTTTTTATCTGTCCTTAAAGGGGGGAGAGAAAGAGTTAACTGAACTGGATTGAATTAGCTCAGTGAAAAATAAAATGTCTCTATTTATCGAAGTGTGGCACCAATTTGCGTTATCTTTCTCTTTGGATGGCTGTCCTCACGTCAGACAAGATACTGAATAATGCCACTGACTGCTCAGCTGAGCTGCTCACAGGCTAGGGAAGAATGGTGCTTCTAATCAGGTATAAAATAAACTTAAGACATGCTCTTATTCAAAAGACCTAAACAATCTCACTTTTGAGACTTTTTTAAAAAAAGTAAAATTACAAACTGAAGTTTGGGGATGGAAGAGAAAATTTAAAGTCATTTTAAAACTGACAAAATAGTATTTTCAAAGGTTTTAAGGTGGTAAAATGGTCTGCCTTCACATACTCAAGTTTTTGGGTTAAAGCTTCACTCTTTTAAAAACAAATTTGAAAGCTGCTTTCCGACACACTCTAATTCTGAAGGTCGAAATTAGTAACTCAAGCATTATACTTCCAGGAACCCCTAGTGTATCAGCACTTATTAAGACACCCTAAAGCCAGAAGAAAAATGAGTAAAGAAAAGTATTCAAACTTGTGAGAACTTGATATTGGCCTTCAATCTGTTCTATGGACTCATCTTCTACATACAAGCCATACAAATAAACCAATCTTCATAAAGGGACCAAAATGCCCACTACAGTCACCAGGGAGGTATCTGGCAAGATCAAAGGGAGATTTCTGTTTTGTTTTTTATATTTCTTTTCCTTCTAGTCTCTCTTTTGGGGACAAAGCTTAAGAAAGGGAAAAAGTTATTCAGAATACAAAGATGAAAACTTCAGGCAAACAAAGAAAAAGCACAAAAGAGCCAAGACCAAAAATAAGAACAACCAGATATAAGCACTCTGCTAATTTAAGGCAAGGCAGACCCAGTCATGTGAACTGCCTGTAGGACTTTCAATGAGAAGTCACAGAACTTGTGGCATTCATTTAAGGACATTTTAAAACAAGTATTATTTGATTATTGTCACACTTCCATAGTATCTTTTTGCAAACATCATGACAGCTCAAATTAGAAAGTCATTTATACTGTTTAAATGCAACCAATTTAGCATTTTATATGTAATGTCAATTCTCTGCAAAATCTGGAGGTGTCTCATTTAGAACTTCTGTGTTTCCTGGCTGAGGGAGTGGGGGCCAGGTGACAGAGGGTAAGGTTGGGACTAAGAGGGGAAACTTTTCAGGCCCTATTCAATCCTTCTACTGCATATAAGAAATTAACTTTAAAATCTTTCAAGATAACTAAACTATCTCAAAAGAATCTCAGACATTATTTTCAAAGCAGAGTATCCACTTTATCTTGTTTAACCAGGATGAGAGAAGGTATGTTCCAAACACCTGGGTTTCACTTAGGGGACAAACACAGCAGGAGGGGATCTATGCTGATGATCTGACATGTTTCATATAAAACATTTCATGGGGACTTTCCTGTGAAGCAAGGGCTCAGAGCACCACTGGTCCCAACAAGACAGGGATTAATGCTAGCCATCCATCAGGTATGTGTCTAGGCACTAGGCATGTTACCCAACATAATCCTCTTCCTTACAATCCTCTAAGGTAGGAACTTTCTATTGCTATTTACAGATGAGGAAACAGGTGCAATGAAGTTAAGCAGTGTAGACATTCAAAGAGAGGCAGCCTCATCCATAGTTCTAGCTCCTGAGTCATCATGAACCATGTCCGTCCACATGGGTGCTCTAATCTG